TTATTTGCATATTTCTAAAATTTAAAAAAATTTTAAAAAGTGATAAAATTATAAATTTAAAAAATATTTAGGAAATTTTATAAAAACATTTACATATATGCATATAATAATAATGACTACAGTTAATAATATGGTCAAATAAAAGTCAATACAACGTAATCGTAATACATATTTAATATATTGTAATAAAATTTACAATATAACGTGTGTAGAGATAATGTTGATTTAATTTGGAGAATTTTATGCAACTGTGATTATTCTTCTCAAAAACAAAAAAACTAATAAAATACTTTAATATAATATAATAAATTAACATGAGCTCTTGTAAAAGGCTAATTTTCTAATTAGACTTTTACTTCGAAATATCAATTTAAAATTCCAAAGAGATGTTTTTAAATTTATTTTTAAATTTTCTATCGTCTCTCCTTCAATCGTCGTTCTCAATCGAGTTCGGATTTCATTATTTATATCTCTCCTCGTTTCCTAGAATAAAAATATTCTATGCGATTTTTAGAGCACCATATAGATCATATTCGTGTTACGAGCTGTCGGAAAGTAAAGTATCAAAAGGGTAACTCACAGACGGAATAATAGTGAGCGCTAGACTCTCGAGTACCAGCTCCGGATCTTTCGAGTAGGTTGTCAGAAGCCCCCGGGGCACAATTGCACCATCTCCGGACGGAGTTAGACCCCCTTGGGCGAACCGGCGGCCTTATTTACCCTTCCACCTCACGGAGCCCGGGCGGCCCACACATATGTGAGTCAATTAAAACGTCGCAAAGCCGAAGTTCACGATCCTTTCACGAAAGGCACAGATCGACAACGGAAAATGGATCGAGGAAAAAAATGGTCGAACGATCGATGTAGTCAATTTAGAAAGACTGGTCTCTTAATTGAAGAAGACAACGAGGAGAATTAAATTTAAAGGGTCAATCGATGTGATGAATCATCTCGATTAAATGTATCTGAAAAACATTTTGCTCGTGACTTGCTAATATTATTGATTTGTTTATACCATTTAATTATTAATGTGATTAATTTTTATTTTATTGTTTTTATATATATGAGATATATCATTTAAAAAAATACTTTGTAGAAAAAGACATTATCTCTTAAATTAAAGAGCCGATATTACTGTGGCGATATTTATTAATCAGTATTAATTATAACAATTATTTTACTCTTTTACTTTCGTTTTTGCTACATTCACGAACAAAGTTTGAATCGGGATGACAATTTCTGGCCTTCCCACGCCCAACCACAATCGTCATTCATCTTCTCGTAATCGCGTCGCGTGGATTCTGATTGATACAAAGGAGGCCGCACGAGTGCTCTTCACAAATCGGCCGACCGTTCGCCGAAAGTTCGCGTGTCGACAGAGCAGCGTGCTATAAACTGTTTCGAGGACGAGGTCAGCCCGCGAATTCGAAAGGACGAGCCGCAAGCGCGATTTAAGGATGAATCCCTTGCCCCCATTATTTCTCGTCTATTTATCCATCTCAATGAACAAACGCTGATCCGGTCTTGCTCATGCAATCGCATATCGAGAGTGCACTCATAGCAGAAGTGCGCGGAATTGTGAGAAACTTATTGCGAAAATTTGCCTCCGAACACTTCTAAAGATCTTCTGACTTATATTTTCATTCCCAAAGTGTACAGAAATAGAAAAAAAAACACCAATATTTCGATTAGTACAAATTTAACTCTATTCATTCAAAAATAATACATTCCTCAAGGGCGAATGAGAGTGCAGCGTTGATCTTGATACGCAATAAATAATAACTCTTATTATTGAATTAAATTGAAAAATATAATTTATTCAATAATGGACAAAATATATACGTTTCGACTCATATAGAGTCATCTTCAGTACATTTCCAAATTAAATATATTAAAATAATTTTTTTTATTCATTCAATATTGTCGACTTATTACGATATTCAATGATTATTAATGTTCCCTTTTTCATCGTTTTAATATGTATTTTACTACTATTATTTCATTTTTCTTCGTTTTTTATTATATATGTATAACTTTTTTTCTTTAGGTTTTTTCTTTTAACTCGTAATACAAGATGTATAATGACAAAAGAATTAAAATGACAACACAATCGACATGATATACAAAACATCAAGCGCAAAAAATTAAACAAATCAAGAAAAAAAACTCTTAAATGATGATTTCGTAATTTTGTATTACGGCATTTCAGGCGATTGCTACCGATAAGAATTAATCATTCGCGAGAATCGTACGTGATATCACGTGGCGGACGAGCATATCCTCCGTGGTATCCGATTTCGATCGAAACGCGATTAAAGGTTACCTCGTTTTACCGGTTCTATCTTATCTTTGTTACTCTTTACACATTTTAAAGAACGGTGATTTCGATTAAAATATGTCATACTTTGTGCATCTTATACGCTTTACATATAAGCAAATTATCGCAAGAACTAAAATACTCCGTCGGTGATTTTTCTATAAAAAAAAATTTGTAAGCCAACATCTCTATAATTTAATTTTTATATCTACCTTTCTCTTCTCAATATTTTATTTTAATATTATTTATAATATACTAGGATCGCCGATGGTTATTTGATAATTTCTTATCCTTGTTTTTGGTGAAAAATTATTTTGATATCATTTGTATTGTTAGAATTATTTATATTTTATATTCACATATTTTCAATATTCTGTATATAATATATATCTAACAATTCTCAAAAAATTGAAATGACTGTCAAAGTTAAAATGGTGCAGATTCTAGTAATGAAGTACATACAAATAAAAGTCAAAGTATATTAATGAAAGAAAAATTACATCACATATCAAATGCGGCATGTCGAATCTCTTAAATAAAAGGTTCGATTCACGAAAGAAGAATAAAAATGACTAGAAGAGTCGCGAAATTTAAGCTAAATGAATGAAACCCTGTTCTGAAGTGCTCAAAATATAATATATTAAAAAAGCATATGTATGTGTATGTGTACAAAAATATATTTAAAAAATGTATTATATTAAGATAAGACAAATTAAAATAAAGTTATGAAGTCTCTCTCTATGTAGAAAAAATGAATAATTACTATTAGCCACCAATAATAAATTCTGCACAAATTTTATTATATACATATCTAACAAAGGTAAGTCACTTTTATCATTTATTTAAAATATAAAAAACGTTAATAATTAATCATTCCTGCGGAATTCATATGTATTTTTATAAACGCTCTGTAACAATTCTTTTCAAGCATGTTTGATTCATTCAGTGAACATTTGAAATGTAATCATGATCGACATGGCTCGTTTGGCGAAAATCAAGTTAGTACGAGAGATGCTTCGTAGAAAAAGGAAAGGTTAAAACAGCTATGAGGTATTAATTAATTATTAATCGTGACATAAAACGATGTGACAATACATGTTTATCTCTCATGCGCTTGTCTCCGTTAAATGCAAATATCCGATCGGACGATCAAAAGGTTGTAGAGTAATCCTTTTTCTAGCGTTTTTAGAATTTCCCTGTATGCTGTGCGAAGTCCTTCAGTTCATCAACTTTTTTTTACAAAATTACATTGCTTTGTATAATTTTAATACTTTCTAAATGGAAATAATTTTGTAGAAAATTATGTTTTTGCGGGTTAATTAAAATGTCCAGATAATTAATGGAGATACTTTACTTTGTGTATTATTGCTTAAGACAGCAACTATTAATCAGTAATCAGTAATTATTTTTTTTAAATGCAATTCTATTTAAAATGAGTTTTTTAAATAATATTATACATCATTGTAGAATATACATTGATTTTTAAAATGTTATGAATAATTAAAATTTATTATTTAGTTACTAAACTTATCACAATTAGGTATTGCAAAAAATTTATATACTCGCACAGGTTCGCACATATAAAATATTATATTGCAATGAATTAATTATTAATTATTATTGAATAAAAATTAATTTTTAAATTGTACATATTTCTTTGTAGAAAAAAACAATTCTTTTCGAGAAATGCGTTTCTAAGATTTAAGAAAAAGTAGAAAATATTCAAAGAAGGAAAGAGAGTGCTTGTGAACGTATAAACATATTTTTTACGAGCAAAGATAAGAATTCACAGGGAGCGTAATGAAATATGCTAGATAAACAAATCTCAGACGACGTACGTCCTTAAATAATAATAGGACACGAAGAAAATTATATTGTATATCGTTATGTTTTGATCTGAATTGTATGCGAATCACTTTTAAATTTGACATCATTTTTATGTGCGAATTGACGTTAGAATTGACAATTATAGAACCGATGAATAACTTATATTGTATAATAATTGACAAGCATGTGAGAAATTGCGCCCCGGTACATATTATTATTTAAAATGCATTAGGGGAATTAAATTAAAAGTTTTTTGTTATATACTGAAGATGGACACATTAAGGACTGAAACGTTTATAATTATGTAATTTTTAGTATTATTAAATACACGAGATTTTCGCTACTTTGAACCAACGTGTGGTATATGCTCCTTCTTCTTATTTTTATCCTTAAATATTCTTATCACAATTGTCCTTTATGTATGAATTATTTATATATAAATTATTTGTGTTTTAACAGGAATACACACGCAGACAAAATACCTGCGATAAAATAAAAAAAATATATCATAATTTTAACAAGACTCGACTTCAATTATAAATAATTTATTGTGTTATCTATTACATTGCTGTTAAAATTAGAAAATATATTAAAAATTGATTAAAAAATTAAAATATATTAAAAAATCAAATTTATATTCTAATTTTTGAGTCTTTTATATCAAATATATTATTAAATTATGGCTAATGATAAATTCGAAATTTAAATATAAAATTATTAAATGTGTAATTCCTTGAAATTAAATTTTAGATTTTGTCTTGTACTTTTATATTAATTTTATTACAATATTAATTATCTTTTTAAGAAAAAAATTGCAGAATTATTTGTTTTTATGATAACAAAAACAGTGACTCACCTGTGCTAAACTTGCCACCGCCAAACCGAAAGTGAATGCGATGTGCAAAACACTCGGCGGCGTCATATCCCACGAGATGCAGGAAGCGCAACCTAGGAGGACCAGCAGAAACGTGCCCAGGATCTCGGCGAACAACATCACGAGGAAGTCGAGCTTGGTAATCTCCTCCAGGCCAACGAATTCCTTCATGCCTGCAAAAGAAAATCGGAAAGTCAACTCCAGCTGCGATTCGATCCATTTCCCGAAGAACTTGATGAAATTAATCTGCGTCTAGCTTTCGTAACTTCAATTTTCGCAACGGCGGTATAATCTACTTGTTTAAGAAAATTAACTTTCGTCCAATTTCACAAAGAATGCTTCTTGCGCTTTCTGCACATTTATGGCGAGTGAAGAGATGAAATTAAGAGGCGTAATTAAAACAAGCAAATATCCAGATTAAAAAACCTAGATTAAAGTATAATAAAAGAGTTTGTACATTATTAACTTAAATCGTAATTTCATCGTCTCTATTCTGTTAGATTGCACTTTATTTACAATTTGTTAATTTATGATTTTGTTAATTATGATACTTGTGATTCCTTACAGTTTATTAAATTCATTATCTTGTTCTCTATAAATTTAGATTTATTTATAATTTGTTTGTTAATCTGCAACTTAGTTTATCAATCGCAGTTTTTGTAGATATAATTTTATAGTTTATTTATTAAATTAGTTTGATTTTATCATTTTACGGATTAAATTAGCTTCAAAGAAAGGGGTTAAAATGTGATAAACGAATAAGAGAGGGAAACTAATAAATTCTTATCACACCCTTCAAGATATCAAGCGTAAGAAACATATGTTCGATCGTCTATTGAAGAGCATTGAAGTGGATTTTACAGTTGTGATTAAAACGTACGATTAAAAGGTGTCCGCGATAACGTCCGAAATAATATGTTTGATATTAATTACAGACAAAAGTTAAGACATGTTCGATAAATTATCGTGAAAAATTTCTTGAAATATCTATGAATGTCGGACTACTTTTAAGTAGGGCGATCATTGTGAAACAATATTTGTCCGTGAATCATAATTTCGCAAATATTAATCACTAAAAGAATTTTGAAAAAATACTAAGTACATTAATGTACTTTTAAATATACCTATTAATTTATAGAATATTTATATTTTATATCTTGGTTTTATGCACAATTTTCGCATTTTTTAATTTATATTGCATATTTAATGATTCAATAAATTTTTATAATATATGAGTTTATTATTATTCTATTTATCTTTTTAATAACTATATACCATATCTCATCTTTTTAAAAAATAAATAATTTATAGCACACAGTTTTTGATTTATAAACTTTAACATCAATTTTGCTTTTTCCTTTTCAAAATTTTTTTAAATTTATAATTTTGATCGTTTAAAAATTTAGTAAAGAAAACTAAAGTCACAAATGAAACAACTAAAAAAATTAAAAGAAAATAGATTGCAGATGACAAAAATAATTATTCTTTCATAACGCCTTCTATATTGTTTATGCTTTAGATTGCAATTAGGATCACTCACGTTGTTTGCATATATAATTTACTATCTAGTCAACAAACGACTTGGTATATCTTGGTATACATATATGCATTGTCATGACAAGCGTTACCTTGAATCTCATCAGTCTTGTACAACGTAACATTGATCGGCTACTTCCTTTTTTTTATACGGCGCGATCGAAATAAAAATTCAACCGTGAAGATAATAAAAAAAGTTTCCTGTTACATGATCTTCTCGAACATATCGTTAATATATATATATATTCTAATTTCAAACTTATCATTATAGATTTTTAAGAGAAACGCGAATATTTATAATTACAGCACTCTTATTTTTTGTTTATATGTCTTTATATACTTTATATGTTTATAAATTATAGAAAATGTTTATTAAATCTCTTCGTATCATCAATCTGTGTTGTGGTTTTCAATTATCTGACTACACTTAGTAAAGTCCTATCTCTCCCTGACTAGATCCAATCACACATGTCCCTTAGGAATAAAACGTATATACGATAATTCTCATAAAACCAGATTATACGGTGTAATAACATTAAATATTTAAATTTATTCGCGATGTGACAAGTATAATTAATCAAGTCTATCTGGCACATTCTCGTTTTTTTATCCTCAATATGATATCTTTAATGTAAAGAATTCCCTCGACATAAAAAATATTTAACATTTAATCATTAACATGTCACACATTCACGCCCTGATGAAGTAAACTGCAATGTTCATCAAACGTTGACATTTAACGATGTATCAAGACGATGTATCAAGAAATAACCCGCAAACCGCACAATTTCTTTAAAGAAAATTCTCATGGAAGCCTCAAAAGTATTATGTCAACACATCCTGAAGCTCTCTTCAATGTTTTCACGGATATTGGATAGCTCCTGTACCACGTACCTTTCCACGATTTGCTCATGATCACTCCGATAAGAAATCGTTCTTCAAAACCACTCCCGGTTCACTACTTTGAACTCCCCGCAATCGCCCGGGAAAATTGATCCTCCACGGCAAAGATGAGTTCCTCTTTCAATAAAATCCTACAAGTGCAAATCTCCTCGGAAACCTCCTCTTCGTGTTTTTTGCGGACTCTCGACGATGGCAGCGTGTTTGAATCGCACAACGTGGAAAGGGAAATTTGGAGAACACCCCGGGGTTGTTGGAAGAACACAAAGAGCGGTGGACCGCACTTCCTGCGCTACCCGCGAGTGGTACACACCACGTGAGAGTTTCTGGACGACGTGCGCGAGTTTCGCCTTCATATATCGCATTCGCCGACCGGCAACACGAGGTCCTCCCTCTCCCCGAGCGATACCCGTGCGCGCGTCCACCCGCGCGCCCCCTCTTGTCACCTCTTCTTTTGAGGCCTCCAGCCGATCGTGCAGTCGATCTGCGTACGTTCGAAAATTTATCGAGGAAGGAAAAGAAGAGAAGCATGCTTGCACAAGGGGTACAATCATGTCGATCCTGTCACTCTTAATCCGTCAGGACGCGCGATGTCCAGTCGCGCAATCACGGCGCGTGCCCTTGACACGTGGCCGAGATTATTAAGTCCCCAACCAGAACGACAGGTCATGATAACGTCAAAGTGACATTAAAATGAATCATGACTGATCGAAAAGACTTTTAATAATCATTTTGAAGACATTTTCGTTGTCATCGTGACTTTTTGTTCTGTTTGAGTCAAGATGCTAAAGAAATTTTTTATTAAGTTAATATAACTCTTTTATTAAAATATTGATAAAATAGCTATTAAAAATTTAGATAATTTAGATAGTAATTTGACGTGTTTCATGAAATTAGAAGAATTTGTTTAGTAAATTATTAATCCACGATTAAATATAAATAAGTTTTAATCATAATTTTGGAACTTCTTTCACTATAAACAATTAATCCCTAATTTCAAATTTACTATTACTAGATCTATTCAATATCTAATATATACAAATCTACATATATATATACTATCTATATACTAAATCTATTTAGAGATCTTTCTAATTGTTTAATATCTGCTGAACACATTTTCACGTTGTCTTTTCGACAAGCATTACCTAAACTCTAAACTATCTCTAAATCGCGATTGTTTTGTTTACAATTATATAAGTTTTTAAGGAAACATTTTGCATTTACTAAGACAAATTATTTGCATACCTTTTCCAATTAATCGTGATAATGAGAAAGCTACACTTTGGAACGATAGCTTGAGGAAACGGATAGATATCCAGTAACAAATAGCACGCATAAACGTTTGTGTGACACGCGTGCGTAATAAGACGATGAAGCATCGCTATGCACGCACGTATGCAGTACCATTCATAAGTTCGCAAACCTGATTTAGCAGATAGATGACCTTTAACGAGCAACACACGCATGTCAATTTACAATTTGTATTCTTATATAATTCACCAAAATTATATATGACTACAAAAAACACATTCGAAAGGCAACTTCCAATTCGTTCCCACCTCAAATTTCGTGATTTCAGGAGTCTTTTATGCATATATATATATATATATAATTTAGGAAACCGTTTCTTGTTTGTTTACCTACTAACAATAAGATTACTTTAGAAGTTTAGAACGTATATACAAAACAGACATCAATCAATAATTTGTAAAACAAAAGCTAAGTGACAGGAATGAAAAAGTAAACCAAAGCAAATAAAAAGTAAATATCAAATAACGTATGTAAATACTATTAGTATTTCAATGCCTTTTCATTACGGCATATTTGACATTTTTTTACTTAGTATGCTATACTTTTTTTATTAATAAGGATATGTAATAGAAATGCATACATTTATTACTGTTATATATTTCTTAATATCTGGTTTTAATTGAAAAAAAATTATTACAACATGTTTATTTTTATGCGATATTTTTACATAATATTCATATGGTAATTACGTGACAAAACAGTATAGAGAGTAGCACCGGGGAGTTAAGAAGAATAGCGAATTAGCGCGCATTTAAATGCATTAAAAGATGTTAAATAAAGTTAAATAGCGGAAACTGGGGACTTTATACAAACCTGTTTAATATATGTGCGTTTTATAAATCGGTGTAATATAAATGAACGCGTTGGTTTGTTCGTATTGTATTTTAAAGTAGAATCTCGTCCGTATTCATGCGAATTTATGGATGGTACTTGTGTGTCAGTGAACTGTCCAAGTTGGTTTCGAGATTCTGCTCTCTTTCTTCGCTTTCGTTTTCGCCGCCGAGAATAAAGAGAATAAAGAGTTTTTACGAACCGCATTTTAACGCTCGCGTTGAAAAATCGTTCTCGCGTGGGTGTGACGAGAGCGATCTCCTTTGTTACAAAAATTCAATTCAACGTGACGTGCATTAAGTCAATAAGTCGCATCGTAACACGGAGAACAGTGTAGAAACACTTGCGAAGCTGTTAAAGACTTCGGCACGGGAATTTGGATCGGAGAAAAAATATTTATTTAATTTAATTTATCGTGTGTATTCAAAGAATTACATTTCAGGTATGCAGGAATAAATAAGTACACAAATGGTGAGGCACCAGCAACACTATGATGTTATTAAGTCTACCAGAACGGTTTAAATTGTAGGTAGTGTACTGAAGGAACGATTTTATTATAAAATATCTATATATATATATATATATATATATATATATATTTATTTAGCTATATACAAATCAGTACAAAATAATTTTGCTGGATCATTAAAATAATTACGTAGGAATTTCAAACACGATGAGCAATGCTGCAAGAAATTTTGACATTCTAGCAATCGGTATGAACGTCTTCATAATTATTTTGATAATCCAGCAAAATTATTTTTAGATGTACGTTAGTTAAATTTTTAGATATATTTGCAGGAAAACCATTTATATATTGAATTACTTAATGAAGATTATATTAATTAACAATTATTGCCATTTTTTTATTCTCGAATTAGTTTTATCAACAAAATTAAATTTTCTTTCTCTTAATCTTTACAACCCTGCTAAAAATAAACATTACGGTTGCACATTTTTATCTCGACGTTATCAATGTTTATCAACGCTACTTGCAAACCAGATAAACGTTGTGTCGCCAAGAAGGTCTCTTGGTCCTCGTCGTAATGCAACGGTAATAGGTAATAATTAAACAGCATTAATTGGGTCGTTACGCGGTGACAAAGCGACTCCGTAGTAAATAGCTTCCGCAATTAGCGCCGTGCGTTCGTCGTTGCTGATGCACTCACGTTGCATTCTCGCGCGCCACTCGCACAAGAATAATTATGTCTGTGCAACTTCCATACGTAACCCCGCGATGAATTCACCACGTTCGCGCGTTACACGGCATGTCGCGTGTGTTACATCTCGCTCTTCGGTATGCTGGTTGTGACGGCGCTTGATGCGAATAGTTGTGTACATACAACATCGAGAGGACCAAGTATATTGCTGCAGTAAATGTTTTATCTTACATTTCTATTAATAGTCTGAGTTTTATTAATATATATAGTAAGATGTGTAAAAATTTCCCTTTTATTGCTTTTTCCACTTTTTTGAGTCCAATTATAAGTGCATGACAACATATTTTATCGCGTACAATGTTTTGTGACAGCATATTTTGTAGGGATAAGAATCATGATAGCTATCATAGTAACATTTAAGTGACAATAAAATTTAATGAAACATTAAGTCACACCTCATCAATCTAAGATATCATTGATCAAAGATATAATATAGTCTTAATGTCTCATTTAAAAGCTCGCTAAAATTACTGTAAGAGTTTATAAGGTGTGGCTCAAAGTTCGAATGATATTAAAGTCATTATCAGCTATCACGCGATATTATACCATTGCGTCAACTGTAAAAAATGTCATCATTTAAGTGAATTGTTTGACGTAAAGTAATTACTATATGCAATCAAAAGCGCATAATTATTCACGTATTGTTTAATTTCGAAGAATTTTATTTCCTTCCTTTTGTTTTCTAATTTAATGTACTAATTCAAAATTTATTTATTAAAATTACAATTTAAATTTTAGTTTTAATTTTTTTCTTTAAATTTTTTAATGTAAGTTCCTGAATACAATGCTTATGACAAAATTACAAAATTAATTTTATATTTAATAAAAATTTAGTATATGCAGTAAAAATATTTAGAGAAATGTTTTAATGTAAAAAATATTAAATTTAAGACACTATTAAATTTAAAATATTAAATTTAAGACTATAAATTTAAAGACATTAATTGAGAAAATTAAAAATTTTAATAATAAAAAAATATGTTATTTCATCAGTTTAATAAAAATGGTTTGGTTATTTTTTTTCTTGATGAATATCTTTCCGAAATTACGATTCATTTCCGTGATAAGAACAATCGTTTTTATTCAATTTATCTCGCGTATAATGTAGTATAATGACAGAAATGGGCTATTTTCAAATGGGTAGGCAACAATGTAGAAAATAGAAAAATTGCAAATGTATTGGATATGTTTCTTTGATGAGAATGGAAAATTTTCCATCTTGTTAATGAGATTTTTCAGAAAATAATTGAACAGCAGTAATCTATATCGTATATACGAATAATTGTGCAAAATTAGGCAAACAATTAAATAGATTTGTCGCGATAGCACGAATAAAGGACAATTATGCGCTCTTCTCAGAAATAGAAGAAACGCGCAGGGTTATGCAATTCACGTTCGGGAATTCGTAAGATCGAGGAAAACTACGCCGCTTAAATGCAAGGCACGCCGTAACGCTTTAATGACATTGGCGGGCCATGCATCGCAAAGAATCACTACAATGGTCATCATAGCATTAATCATTGTTGAGATCACATTGATTGCTCTCCGTTTAATTCTTTCATCTTTCGCAACGAGACTTCTAACAAGACTAATAAATCACGAACTCATTATTGCACTTGTGCAATAAAAAGAGATGCATCTCTCGAAGGATCAAACATTTTGGATGCTTTGTATAAAATGATCTCTTTAATTTCAATGTCTCTTTTCCTTCATATTTTTAAAGATATTTATTGTATTTTAGAGAATATATTTTTAGTTTTAAAAAAGTGTATTCTTTTTTAATTAAAATGTTCAAGAAATGAAGCTAAGCAAAAGGTATTATTTAAATTCATAATCATGAAATTTAGTGATATTATATATGATACGTATTAGGAGCAAAAATTATTTCTTTCATTTAAATTATACAGTAAGTT